CTTGTATGCATCCATATATCCATAACTAATGGACATAAGACACTGGGGGGTAAGGGAGGGCAGGGCTTGTTTAAGGGTTGGGGGGAGGGGAAAGGACACTTATGTAATACCCTTTGTAATACTTTTAGTGAAAAATAAAAATAAAAATTAAAAAAAATAAAATAAAATAGTACAAAAAAATAAATAAATAAAGTAATTTAAAGTAAAAATGAAAAAAAAATAAAGCCTCAATTTCAACATAAAACATTACTAACTCCTTTCAAGAATCCATATGCAATAGCCATTCAACAAAATATTTTAACACTTCCTGGGTCATCTTGAAACTAACCTTCCTATTATGTGTTTTTAACATACAACACATTAGATTCCACTTGCAGACAATTTCACAAATGCTGTGCTTGCAGGTCTGTCCCAGGCAGAGGGGGCTGCCCCCTCGCAGGTTTGTGTACAGGATGCAGGTGCCTGGGAAGCAATGTGTACTCGCTGCACAGAAGTAGACGGCTGAGTCTCCAGGTTGGGTGGCTGTGATGTGCAGGGAGAGATGTTTGGCCGCCTTATTCAAGAAAACAGTGAGTCTTTCATCTTCGTTTATGTCCTTATTTGAACGAATGTCTATACTGAGCTGGGGACCTTTTCCAGGTTCTTGCTTATACCAAGGAAAGTAACTTGAGGTACTATCTGAATAAGAACAGTTGATAACAGCGGTGTTTCCCTCCTGGACATTCAGGGTAGAAGGATGCTGATCCACTTTCTCTCCATGGCTGACCCCTATGCAGAAAGAAAGAGTCAGAGAAAGAGGAAGAGTGACCAGATCATTAAACTTTATCATTTTCTTTTTATCCAGTAACTAAGGGACCCTGAATAAAGCCAGTGTTGCTTCTAAAGAATATCCACTAATACATTGTTTCCCATAAACCCTCAACTCACGGTCCAGCAACAGCCACAAGAACATGAACAAAGCTCCAATGGACGTCTTCATCATTCTTCCTACTCAGGAGCAATTGTGGACCTGCAATCAGAGCCAGGGGAGCTACTGCTGTTATCAAGTTACCCCTCCTTTCCTCTGACCATCATAGGGGTTTCTCACATTCTACCCAGCCAATAAGGAAAAGACTGTGCTTCTGCCAAAGCCTGTTCATTCAGAATCCACTAAAATGCACCCTCCACATGTTCTGCATCAGCACAGGTGCACTGCCATCTTGTGGTGACATTCACAACTACTGAACTTGCTGTTAAATGTTCTCTTACCCTGTTTCCTATGAGAGATTCAGACATGCAAAGGCAGCAATAAGTGAAACTAATTAACTTTTAGACCAGAGATTAAGGAAGACTCTAGAGATTAAGATTTATATCCCTGAACACTACTCAGTCATTGTTAATATGTTGTAAAAAGGCAGAAGCTGTTGGGTTTGTTCAATGATGGCCTGGGATTACAGGTTTGAAATCAGGAAAGCACCATGATTCACTCTCTTACACAAGAAAAAAATGAAATCTGCAGATTCATAAAATATAAACACATGAAGTTTATTCTTGAGGTGGTTTCTTTTTCTCATATCAAATGGATGGCATATCCTAAGATGCAATTACTGACTCATATGCTTAGTGGAATTTCTTCTAAAGTATAAAGCCAACTCTCCTAGCATGGATTCCTGCCTCCCTGGCTATTGCTGGATCAGATTCCATATTCTATCACTTTTCTCCCAAACTCCACTGCAATGTTCTTTTCCCTAGACATTGATAATGTCCCTCAGTCCTGTGAGTTTCCAGAATTATCTTTTGCTGAAAAAAAAAAAACCCCTTTCTCATCCATTTGAATTTCTTGGAATTTTATGATTACCTCTGAGAATAAATCCAAGAGAAAGTAAATATTGTCTATGTCTGCAAAGGGAATAGTATAAACAGAAAGTGTTCCTGTCTTGTGTCCTGCTGCCCCATGTACCTCCTTTGCTCACACACATGTTCCATCCCATAAGTGGATGGAACTTTAAAAGCAACAGTGTTATAAAATTGCAAACCTGAAACTTATATAATGTTAGTAATCAATGTCACCCTAATAAATTTAATTTTAAATGATCTAAATATGATATTTTGTTGGTAATGTATATAAACACATTGTACAAATTTATCAAAAAAATCACTTGAAATAGGTGGTTTTAAAGACTGTTCTATATCAGGTAGCTCAAAGTATAAGCTCTCATGTTACCCCGTCTTTAATTATCCTATATAATAATAGCCTAATATGCAAATCGACCAAACGGCAGAATGACCGATGGAACGACTGGTCCCTATGATATGCACTGACCACCAGGGGGCAGACGCTCAATGCAGGAGCTGCCCCCAGCCCACAGGCCCTGACCTGCAATGGTGTTGAGGGGCAGGGCAGACGAGCGGGCAGCACCAGGCCAGCCAAGGCTAGTGCCAGCGGGGGCCCCACAATCACCCTGCTAGTTGCCCCACAGATTGGCCCTGATCACCAGCCAGGCCTAGGGACCCTACCCGTGAACGAATTTACTGCACCAGGCCTCTAGTTTAATAATAATGTTAATTTAAGCAAGTCACCTATACTCAACAACCCTCACTTTATCCATACGTAAAATGAGAATGTGCATATTTACAGGGTGCTATTTGTACTAAATAAATAACATATACAATAAGCTAGATAGAGTGTTTGCCACTCAATAAAATTATTTTTTTATATTTGATATTTCCAGGAGTGAATAAGCTTAATACAAACTTTAAAAAACATTTCACAGGCTCTCTTCCTTTTTCCTTGAAAGTAGAACCATCTTCAGTTAACTGAAAAAGCAGAATAATCTCTTCATGCTTTTTTTTTTTTTAATCCTCATAGGAGGATATTTTTGCCATTGATTTTTTTTTTTTTTTGGAAGAGTGGAGGGGAACGAGGAGGGGGCAGGAGAGAGAGAGGAACGCTGATGTGAGAGAGACTCATCAATTGGTTGCCTCCCACATGCACCCACACACACACACACACACTAGGGTCAGGGATGGAGCCTGCAACCCTTGACCAGGAATCCAACTGCTGACACTCTAACCACTGAGCAACCGGCCAAGGCTCTTCCTACTTCTTGACCACCTTACATTTTTCCAAGCCTTTTCCATCAAAGTAATTTACATGTCATTTATGTGCTGCCTGCATTGTATTTGGCATTTTTATCGGTTATCTTAATGGTTCCATATAAGAGTTTTTTACCTATAAAGTGTTTTCAGTGGGAAAATAAGGCCCAAAAATGGTGAATGACAGAGCTGAAGAGTCTAATTTTAGGACAGAAAAGAGGTTTGGAACATAAATTTGAAAACTCAAAGATGTGCAAGGCTAATGTGGGGCAACATGCCTGCCCGTGGAAGGGGTGGGGCTGCAGGCCCAGCTGCAGTTTGGGTACAGGCTGCAGATCACCCGGCAGCACTGTGCATCTGCTGCACAGAGGTAGGTGGCTGAGTCCTCCAGTTGGGAGGCTGTGATGCTCAGGGTACTGTACCGGTCCTTAGTATTCAGTGTGGAGCTTAACCTTCCACTGTGCTTTGTCCCTGAAGCTAAATAAAACAGATTGATGAGGCCGCCCCCGGGATTCTGTCGGAACCACTGCACTTTGGTCACTGTGGTAGAAAAATTGCACCTCAGAGTAGAGCTGGTTCCCTCCTGGAGGCTCAGGATTGAAGGACTCTGCTCCACCTTCATCCCTCTCACCCCTGCTTGGAAAGAGAAAAACAAACACATATGAGGTCACTGGGGATGATTGATACAGTTTCTAAACCTGTAAAATATCCCAAGAAACACCAGACTAGGAGCTCTGTGTCAGCTCTGCCTTCCCCCTTCTATTGACAGCTGTGGAACACTCCCCAGCTCCCCATCTGGGACTCACAGCAAACCTGGGCCCACAGAAGCCCCAGCAGAGCCCCCAGGTGTCTCTCCATGACGTCTTGCCAAGTTGCTGTGGTGCCTTTGCCCCTGATCTGGAGGGTGTAGAGTCCTGGCCAAGGCAAATTTTGTTCCTGCACTCAGTGTGTTTCACCAGACTCACTGAGGACCAATCACTTCTCAGCTCTGTCATTCATCTTAACAGCAAACTCCACCCACATTGGCCCAGTGAGATGGCACAGTCATCTCTCCAAAATTGTGAATACAAACAGTGCAGGATTATAGCAGTCAGTATTTCCAATAAATGAAGGTATAAGCTGGTGGTTTTTCTTAAAGCACATTATATAAGAGAAGTTTCTGGAATAATGTATGAGGAAGGGTGGATAGTGTTTCTAGATTATCAGTGTTTCAATGGGTTATGTAGAAACTTGACAAATCCTATGAAGAGTGACCCAGTTCCTAAATTGCATAGTTTGACAGCTATATATATATAGCTGGTTTGTAATTCGTTCAACTAGCCACTGGAGTCATTCTAAAGATAGTAAATCAGCAAGAGAAAAAGTAACCCAAGGACTAGGAGTGGGATATAGTGGGGGAAATGTTGTAGAATAACACATACACATTTATTTAAAGACTAGAGGCCCAGTGCATGGATTTGTGCAGCAGTGGGGTCCCTCGGCCTAGCCTGCGCCCTCTCACAGTCTGGGACTCCTTGGGGGATGTCGGATAGCTGGTTTCGGCCAGATCCCCGCAGGCCCAATCCAGACAGGAGGGAGCCCGATCCTGTGCATTGAGTGTCTGTCCCCTGGTGGTCAGTGCACATCATAGCAGTTGACCAGTCATTCGGTCATTCAGTCGCTTAGACTTTTATATATATAAATGCTGGCCTAAGAACAGAGATACTTTACATTTCCTAAGTCAACAGAAAGAAAAAAGACTATGTTAACAATGCAATAGCAGACAGACTACAAGAGAAAAGAAAAAAAAGAGCTTGTAATGCAAAACCAAAATATTATAAATGAGTCCAAATATATCAGAAATCAAAAATATATAAAAAAGAGATTATTTGATTGAATTGAAATTAAAAATTTTGCCACATATTACTTAAGAGACAATCCTAGAAGAAAATAACCATCAAAACTGAGAAGATAGGATGGGATTCTTCCCCTTTGTGTGAAAACTGAGGCCCCTCCCTCACCCACCACACCCACCAAAGAGCTATCCCAAAGAAAGGTCAGTTCTGCTGAAGACAGTCATGGGGGAATCCAAGAGAACACCAAGTTAGTGAACTACATTAACTCCTACATAGGTGAGATCAGAGGGGGAGGGGAAGAAAGAGATTCAAAAAATTAATATTCAACTTGTGTGGACATAGAGAGCATTATGCTAAGTGAAATGAGTCAGTGAGCAAGACAAATACATACGATTTTACTTATATGTGGAATCTAAAAAATGAAATAAATGAGCAACAAACAGAGAACAAACTGATAGTTGCCAAAGGGATGGTGGTTGGGGGATGGGTGGAAAAAGTAAAAGGATTAGAAGTACAAATTGACAATTACAAAATCATCACAGGGATGTAAAGTTCAGCATAGAGAATATAGTCAACAATATTGGAATACTCTGTATGGTGCCAGGTAGGCACTAGACTTGTTGGGGGGATCACTTTATTAGTTCTATAAATGTTTATTCACTGTGTCATACACCTGACACTAATATAATATTAAAATTCAACTGTAATTGAATGCAAAAAGTACTTTTAAATGAATAACCAGATAGAAAAGGGAAGACAAATAAAGGAAAACTGTTAGAGTTGAAACACCAAGTAGAAAATAAGAAGTGGATGAAATAAAATTAAGAAAATTCTATAACTTGATATAGCAGAGAATAAAGAAGCCAAGTGTTAATAACAACTTTTACATTTTTTTCAGTGGTCCCTCAATCTTCATTATTTTACAACTTGGAATTTTTTATCAACTATTTATAAAAGTACATTCTAAACCCTCTAAAAACACATTAAGAGAAGGTGAAAAACACTCAGTATCAAAATTGCGTATAATTATTCTGTGCGCAAGTAATTAGTGGAAAGTTGAATCAAGGGA